CAAAAGTTGTCTCCACATGTGACTTTGTTATACAATACTTTGTTGTGAAATTTATTATTTTTTACATGGTAATGGGTGTGATGTAAGGTTAACCTTCAAACCTCAGTTTTACTGCCATTTATGAGACGGTGATGATTAATTCTACTTCCAGATTCGTGTTTACAGTTGTGCTGTATCACTGATGTTTTTGGGTTGTACTGTGATCGGCACAATGTCCAACATTTCAACTTGGTTCCTGAAGCTTTCAACATGTGGAGCGAAGTTTCAGACATGCTGTACAATGCGCGGTACAACTCAAAAACATATTGGAGAGCGATAAGTTACATTATAGATCTGCTGGTTTGTATGTTTGCACATTGATAGCATTCACAAGGCTTTCTAGTGGTATTTTTAAAACTTTTCTTGCAAAAACCAAGGTAGCAGGCATAAATCCCAACCATCACCTCAATGTCTCCACTTATGACTGGAAGCTATACCCTGAAAACCCTTGTAAATGAGATTATCTATCCCAAGAGATCTTTCCAGCGAAATATTTTTTTAAAAACTCACTTTTAAAGCTGTAAAAGCCAGAGGTTCTGCTTCATCAATAATGAAAAAAACTCAACAAATGTATCAATAACACTGTCTGAACACAGTAAATTTCCCGCAACGTCCGGTATTGCACAAGTCAGAACATAGGGTTATTTATCTTAAGAAATGTTCAAACTGACTTTCTATTAACATTAATGCATGCATTAATTATCTTCTGATATGAATATAGGACTTAAAGTTTGCATGTGTAATTCTTGAACATATCAATTGTTTTGTCTCCATTCATGGTTCTTGGAAGAGTTTTGTAAATGTCATCTGAAAGAAATAGGTATGATAGATAAAATATTTACTTAAAGAAACAATAGAAAAAATGTTTATGAAAATGCTAAAATAAATTAAATCACCCTGTGTCTTGACTTTTGGGCCCCCCTCTCTATCTTTTACTTTCAAGGCAGTGTTATTGACGAATACGTTTTTGTTAATTTTGCTAGTGCACCACTGCCTACAATAGGTTCACCAAATCTATAACAGTGGTTTAATTACAAATTCGAGATACACTGACAAACTTAACTTTAACTCCACGACACAGTTTGGTAGTAGTTTTTACCGCTCAAAACGTAGTTTTTCAGTAGGCAAACTTTATCTCAGCTCACCAATTACAAAATAATTTCTCGAAAAAACTACGTGCCTATGAAGTGTACTTTACTGTTACCACCCACTGCATTTTACAGACTGGATATTTATAGAGTACTGTTTATAGTATGGGTGACTTTAAGTGTAAACTAATCCAACTAACCGTTTATGTATGGTCTGGTTATTTATCTCAAGTTTGGTATGAGGGATTGGCAGTTTTATTAATTACGAACACGAATTAAAAATAATCAATTGTCATTGGGCAAATGCATACTTTAGGAGGCACTTGGGTTCATTGAAGTTTTATGCATGACTACAGTACTGTGGTATTTAAAAAAAGTTTACAATTGGAATGTTTCCAAACGTTTGGACTGCTCCATAAAATGAAATGCACTTCATGTAATGATGAAACACTCCCATGTAATATGTAATTGTGTTAAATAACTTTCGATGCGTTGACCACCTGTTGAAAACTTTACAATAATCTTAAGAATGAAAAGGAGAAAACCAAGGGAATAATTAACTAAACACATTGTTTTAAAAAATCGAACATGCAGTACTGTTTAGTACTCAGCCATGGCTACAAAGCAAACACAGCAACCACACAACACGACAAACCACAACAAAACAAGGGTCTATGGGTATGATGGTGGTCCGGGCACAAATGATGCTTTGTGTACGTGTGTTCTTGTGTGTACAGTATAACGTCGCATATCCCTAGCATCGCGGGGGACCTGTTACAGGCGGATATGTGAACAGGGTTGATTACGTGAACATCAATGGAATGGCGGTACTGCGACGTATAAATGTTGTTGGACAAAATTAAACGTGGTAGGCTGATGCATTACACTTGAGAATACAATGTATGCAAGTTTTAAGAATACACGACTATATTAAACAAAACCAAAAAGGTCAAGATTTGTGAACAATATAAAATGACAACTGCGAATGCACAAAACGCGGTGCTTGCGCTGGGGTGTGTGGGCGGTTGTGGACGGACCGCGCACGTGCTTTTCACTTTTTTAAAACACGTGCGCCTAAGAAGTAGTGTACGTGAATTAATGGCACGTTTGTCGCCGGGTGCGCAACTTTTTCTCCGGTGTGTGCAACAGGCTTGCAACACACCGCGTACACACACACACACACGTGGCACAGGTGTGTGTGTGTGTGCACGGGTGGCAGCAGCAGCAGTGAAAGTGTGCCGCAGGGTCGCCATTTTAGCCTTAAACAGCAGGAGGGGAGAAGAGGAAAAAATATATAATGAATTTGAAATAATTGAAAAAAAAACATCATCTCCTCTACGCACACGTCTCCCTATCGCAACAGCAGGAATAACAACAACATACTGTACTGCCATCGTGGCAACAAACTAGTGCGCGGTTAATTCACTCGGGTGATTATTCGGATTATCTTCCTGTTGTAGCTCAAAGGGCGCTTGCTCGCAATGTGAGCTTAGCAATCTGCGTAAAGTGAAATGCCTCGCGTGGTGCCGCACGGGTTACGGCTTTTTTTGTTTGCTACGTCACTTATTTAGCTGACGAGGGCTTTGCCCACTTAGGATGCGAGTTACTTTTTATTTTAACGTTCGTCTTTCGGTTTTTCTTCCCGTAATAACATCGCGTACAATCGGGCGCACGGTTGAATGTGCGTTCAGTATTTCAATTCACACGACACAATTTGTTGTCGGGATGCGTTGTCGCCTTATTGATTGTCGCGTCCGTGCGAACTTGATGTTTTGCTTCTGGTTGTGTTTGTTTACAGACGTTGCGGGAGCGAAAATGTAGGTGGTGCCAAAGGAAGTTATTTCTTGGGAGGGGGGCCAGAAGATAGGACTGTGGTGGTGGTGGGGGGAGGTGATAACAGAGGGTCCCAAAGGGAATAACTTATCTTAAGTGTGTGGGGGGCTCAATAGAGCGTGGAGGGCACGGGTGCTGTGTGGTAGCTCGACATAGAAGGCTGTAGGGGGGGGGGGGTGTGAAGGCTACAAAGTTATTCTCTTTGTTGGGGTGGGGGGCTCAATACATAAGACCGAGAGGCCGAAGGCGAGTGATTCCTTTGGCGGGGGGGGGGGCAATATTGTAGATTGAGCGACAAGACAATGGGGGGCTTCCGTAGGGAGCACACGGAGTGATTTCTGGAGCTCAGAAACAGAAGACTTGTTGGGGGTGGCTGATGACTTCGTGGGGGGTGGGGTGACCAGGAAATACTATGGGGGGCCAACATTAGTTATCCCGGGGGGGGGGTTATTCAGTCGTCTGAAGATTAGCGGACGCTCAAAGCAATAATGCTCGAGAGTCCAGAGGGGGGGAAAATAACTTGTGGCAGGAGCCAAGAGGGTTCAAGGAGTGTGAACCGTGGCAAGGAGCTTTAGGTCTTTTGAGTGATCTGTGGGGCCCGACAGACTTGGTTGGACCCACAGGACTCCCCTGGCATTTGACCCGCAGGACTCTCCTGGCATTGGACCCGCAGGACTCTCCTGGCATTGGACCCGCAGGACTCCCCTGGCATTTGACCCGCAGGACTCCCCTGGCATTGGACCCGCAGGACTCCCCTGGCATTGACCCCGCATGACTCTCCTGGCATTGGACCCGCAGGACTCTCCTGGCATTGGACCCGCAGGACTCTCCTGGCATTTGACCCGCAGGACTCTCCTGGTATTGGACCCACAGGACTCCGCTGGCATTGGACCCGCAGGACTCTCCTGGCATTGACCCCGCAGGACTCTCCTAGCATTGGACCCTGCAGGACTCTCCTGGCATTGGACCCGCAGGACTCTGCTGGCATTGAACCCGCAGGACTCTCCTGGCATTGGGCCCACAGGACTCCCTTGGCATTGGACCCTGCAGGACTCTCCTGGCATTGGACCCCAGGACTCTGCTGGCATTGGACCCCAGGACTCTCCTGGCATTGGACCCGCAGGACTCTAGTGGCATTGGACCCACAGGACTCTGCTGGCATTGGACCGGGTTTGAGGGTGGGAGGCGTCAGAAGGAGAGACTCCGCTCGGGCATCTCTGCGGGGTTGAACCCATCAAGGTGCCGGGCTTCGTTGAAGGAGGATAACTTTTTTTTTGTTAAAACGAGGGCGAATTCTGTTCCGGGAAGACCTCGAGAGGAGGAGGCGGCAGCCGGCCTGGCAAAATCCGAGTGAGGAAGAAGGAGAGGGAAGCGACTGACCGGCTTGGTTGGCTTGGCGAGTCTGGGAAAAGGCAGCCGGTCCCGACGAGGAAGGGGATAACATCGGCGAGGAGCGGCCACAAAGGCGGTAGTGGATCGGGAAGAAGAGTCGGGTTGAGGAGGATCGGGCCGGGTCTGGTTGGGGGTTGGTGGGGGGGGAAGTCGACACAAGCCGAACCTCGAGTGCAGCAGGGGAAGAAGGAGCTCAGCATTCGTGACTCTTATTCGGAGGACGATCAGCTCTCCTGGGCTCGTGGTGGTGGGTGGGGGGGGGGAGAGTTTGGTGGAGAGAAGATAGGAGGAGTCAGTACGGAAGGGGGAGAGGAGAAGGAGAAGAAGAGCCGGCGGAGGCATGGAGATCGCCAGCCAAGTGCTTCTCTCCCCCGACCGCCCGCTTCAGCTGCCCGGTCGGTAACAGAGACACCCCCCCCACCACCACCACCGCCGCCGCCGCGGTGTCTCTCGTTCATTGTTTAATAATAATAAATGGCATCTAATGGTCGTATTTTTAACGCGACGTTACGTAGGATGTATAATGGGAGTTCTCTGCGGTAGCGACTGTGCATTCCATGGTGGGTGCCGCCTCCGTCTGTGTCCCTATCTCTGGTGCGTTCATGTCCGCCCCCCACCCTCCCGCGCCACTTAATTATACCGTGGTTTGTGGTGGTGGTGGTGGTGGCGAGGGCTGCTACGTCGGCAGGGGCCTGAAGTTACCCGAATAAATGCCGCGTTCGCATTAATTAGAGAGAGAGACGTCTCGCAAAACATTAACTCTGGGCGATTAAAGGAAGACGTGGCAGTGCCACGTCGGGCCCTCCCCACCCCGTTGACAAAATGCGACCTTTAAGGAATTGCAATACAGTGGATGATGCTGCTACTGTCGACACCACCAACATTAATAACCCTCGCTGTTACCACCGTCGCCGCTGCCGTCTTCATCGGAACGACTACCGTCGTCTTCAATGCAATCCCCACCACCGCTTTCCCATCGTCACTGATGCCACCGCAATCATAATCAGAATTACAGTGGTACTGTAATCACCGTCTTCAGGACAGTCACCACCCGCACCGCCACCCACCTTTACCGTCGTAGTACCTCCACCATCAATCAGAACTACATACAGTACCACCATCTTCAGAACAAATCGCCACCACTGTTACCATCTTCACTGACACCCATACACAGCATCATCACCATCTTAATGACAATCATTGTTGTCTTCATAACCACTGCCATCTTCAAAAGAATCGCAGCCGTTACCGGAATCGTCACTACTATCGCACATAATTACTGCTGCTACAATTACCAACACCATCGGCATCATCTGCACAGTAATCGACCGCATTCTTTACTACCACTGTCATCAGCTACACCACCAGTCCAGTTAGAACAGCTCTTGATACAATCAGCACCACCAGCACCAGAATCATGACCCACGACCATCACCTGCAGTGTTAGCACCACCACCATCAATGCCGCCGCCACCACCACATTTAGCACCACCATATATTCCACAATCACCAAGTTCAACACATTCACCACAACCGCCACAATCATCGTCGTCATCTTTACCATTACAGCACAGCCATCTCCCCAACTTAACCAACCATCATTGCCACCGACACGACAACCCGGCAGGGATAGGCGTCACTACCAAACAACTACATTCACGCCAATTTTTAGAAGGCTGAGCCGCCACGTCTTTTTTAACTCGACATCGACATCATCATCATCGTCGTCGAGTCCCTGCTGGCCAGCTCCTCCTCCTACAGACGCCGTGACCTGGCCAGGCCGAGAAGAAGCAAAGTGGTCAAGAGAGCAGCAGCAGCAGTAGTTGCTGCCAGTCAGGGAGAGCCCAACTTTATTGTCTTTAACTATCATCACCAACATCACTAACATCGTCATCGACACCCTCCACCACCACCACGGCACTCGTCGTTTGTCATCGTTATAGGCACAGTTCTTCCCTCTGTGCGCTGCGTGTCGCCGCCGCCGCCGCCGCATTGCTGTTTGAAGAGTAAATGTTAAATTCTTGTTAAAGGATTATAGAGGAGGAGGAGGAGGTTGGTGGTGGTGGGGGGGGCAAGCGGGCGGCTCCGCTACAGTCGAGCGACGGAATTTTGTCAAAAGAGAGCAAATGGTAAACATGGTGTTCGTCTGTTTTAGCATACGCGGTAATTAATAATAGATTACATTAATTAGGGGGTTCCGGGATAAGACCCGGCGTGTGCGGTGGTGGTGGCGGCGGCGGCGGCGCTGGGGGGAGGGGGCGAGAAACGGAAAGACGGCAGCGAGGGCGGCGGAGTTTTAAGAGAAAAATGAAAAGACGATAAAAGTTAAAGATAGCGAATAAGAGTACAGTGCGAGTACAGTTTTAGTGTTTGTTCTTCGAGGCCTAGACGATGCGAGGGCCCGGCGAGACCACGGACTCGCCTGGACGAGCCCCCGGGCTTAGCGAGCGCCGCCCCGGCAGCGCCTCCCCCGCCGGGCTACCCACCTCGGGGCTAGAGATAAACAAGTAAATACAATTAATATTAATACGATATAACAGCAACATTACATGACAATACTGGCCCTAATTATTGGTCAAAGTCGAAACTACAGCAAGTACCAAGCACACCTGCCCGGGGACTCGTGGTAAGTTTGCGTTATACTGTAGTCGTTATTGTTGGTATTTGGGGAGATGGATTTAACAAGGTTGGTGGTGGTGGTGATGGTTGGTGGTGGTGGTGTAAATTTCAGAGTGGGTAAACCGGGCTGATTGTGCTTTTAAGAACACATTTGCAACACTTTCGGTGACATAATTAATGCAGGTTGTGAGCAAGTGTGTGTGTGCGTGTGTCTTATTGCTTGGCCATGTAATTACATGCTGGGGCCCGTGAATTTATTTTTCTGTCGCTGAAAAAAAATCCGCATCATCGGGTCAAGATGGCCAGGGATTGCCCTCCCTTCCTCCCCTCCCCGTGTGTGAGAATGCGTCCTTGCTGCCACTCACAGCCTGGCGTGCAAAGTGCACTCTTGTGCTGTCCTTCAATTGGGCACTGGCTTAAAGAAAACTGCACTCCCAATTTTTTTGTTAACTGTACATTGCTATGGTTTCCCCCTAAGTGTGTATGTATTTCTGTGTGTTGTATTGTGGGTTGTGCAGGGTGTCCACAAGTGTCCTGTTTACAGCACTACTAAAACCACAATCCACCTCCCCCTGTCTCATAATTGACACGTGAATCAATATATAAATGACAATGCAATATGATTGAATGTAATTGGTATGCGTTGATATGAACACGCCGCTTGTGATGGATTGTTTCATACAAAGTTCACACCATCATAGCAGCATTCGCTTGTAGCTTAATTGTCCAGAGGCTTCGGTGTAGGCACTAACATTCTGACGAAAAGCTAACTATGCCATGTTCTTAAGCTATAGGCTATTATATCTGCTATTCTGTTACCTGAATTAACCCGACAAGCAGGTACACCAAATACAAACGTACAGTTCCGCAGGGTAAAAATGCATTGCCAACACCCTTTACTGTACTGTATTTAAAGTAATGGTAACCATGCTAGTGGACTTGTTTCGTATTGATAACGGAGGTCATATACTTTTAAAGTGTATTTTGCGAGAGTTAAAGCAATTCAGAACTTTAGTCTGAACCCACTTATCGACCCTCAAGGCAGTAGTTTTTGGGAACAAATTTCAAATACTTTTTTGGATTGTTATGGTTACAAGTTTTATACAAAATGTAAGTTTTTTAGCCCCTTTTAGAGCATCATTAGAATATACATAATTGTTTCAGTCACCATTTTCTATGCATAGCAAATGCTGATTAATAATATTTACCTTAACCCAGAAAAGGCTCACTGAGTCTCAAGACATTCCTGGAGGACCCTACGTTGGAATGTTTGGTCCATTCTATTAATAAGTGTTTGGCATGTGGATCGTAACCGGAGTACCCAGCGATATTTACGCTTATGCAGTGTTAAAACACTCAAAGTGTCGCACAGACAGATTCAAGTATCCATTGCCCTACTCTTAGCCTACTTGCAGGCCAAGCTTCAAACAGGCTCAATTTCTGCTTTGCTTCCAAGATTTGACTAGATGACATTAAAGGTGATTTGGTCATAGGCAAATGTAAATCTCCATGTGCCCTATGCTCTGCAGCGAACCCACTAATATACCCATTGATGGGAGAAAAATAGAGGTCATAAAACAAGTGGCCAGATTTCTTTTATTGTATTTTTCCTGTTTAGTTTTTAACTGGCTTAATGGTAAACTTCATTTCAAGAGATAACGGTGTTGAGTTTAAAAACACGTGACTTTTAATTGTTTAACTTGCTTAATCTAGCAGATTGTGCAACATGTACATGTTGCCTCCCTTACATGAATACAGTGGTTTGTTTCAGTCAGGCAAGCAACAAGCAGATGCCAACACAGATATGGTATTTATTTTGGCTAGCACATCATTACTTGAAAGTTGGGCGAGGGCTTTTAAAACATTGACCACAGTTCATCACGTCAGTCAATAGTGCTATCTGCACAAAGTAATCGTTAACCTGAAAGCAAGTTCCACTGAGTATTATGGTTTTGGCAATTTAAAGTGTACGTTGGTCACTGTTGAAAGTACGGGTCAATTGTTTGGCGATGTAAATACATCTTCCTGAGGAAGGCTACTTCCTGAGGAAGGCTACTTGTGTTGTGGCCGAAACGTCATAAGAATTTTATTTTATTATGTTTTATTATTATTTCCCTTCTATGTGACTTTACCAAAAGAACCAAGCAGATGAATCCCTGCAGTCACGAAAGCTTTAAATCGAAAGATGTAAATAAAATGAAGTTGGGAAACTGAATGCCTTCAGCCTTTTGTGTCAGTAATTCTCTAAAGCCTGTGCAATGCTTTCAAGCTCGGAGGTTGTAATTTGATCATCTATCACACTGAATGTTGTGCATGGCAGTAATGTCCATTGCAATTGAAATTAATCTGGTGTCTGTGGTTTTTTTTGCACAGGCACAATGGAAGAGCTGCATAGCCTGGACCCCCGACGGCAGGAGCTGCTGGAAGCCAGGTTTATGGGAGGAGCGTTTAAGGTAATAACTGTTCAGGAGCTTGCACATAATTGTACTTGATTTGGTCAGCAAATCTCAACTGTACATGTGCATTGTTATTGTTGTTGCGCTGGATGAGCAGGCTAATTAACCTTGCGGTTGGTTATACAGTACAAAATGGGTGTTTCTGTTGATCCTTGCCCAGATGAGATGCCGCCATTTTGCTGCATCTACATTCTGTTAGATTTGCTTACCTCTGCTCAGCCTTGCGACCATTGCTGACATGCTATTTGTCACACACGAAAAAAAATCGATGTACAATATACAGCATGCTCCATGCCAAATTGTTCCAGAGGGGTTTTATGCATTGGCATCTGCTGGTGGCAGCATGAACTAATTATCTACAAGAGATTAAAAACAAGGAGATTGACCACTCAAAATGACATCAATCATAAAGGGTGTGTGCCATAAAATGTGCTTTTTCATTCCGGCTTGCCTGTTGATCTGTACACACGGCCCAGCAATATTTTTTTTGCTGAATGGGAGTGTTTTGAACGGGAGCCTTAGTGAATGTGGTCTTGGATGTCTGCATGGCTGTTTCAGCGTCTTGTCGTTTGGTACATTTTAAAATAATTTTTGATCGCGTAATGGATTACGTAATTCTGAAACAAATAATAACATTCAACAATACAGATACTGACTTAAAGCTTTCGTGACTGCAGGAATACATATTCTGTGGGTTTTTCAGTACCACGTAGATAGAAAAATAATAAGATCGCGACGTTTCGATCGCAACACAAGCAATCGTCTTCAGGTGACGACTGCTTGTGTTGCGATCGAAACGTCGTGATATTTTTTATTATTTTTCTATCTACGTGGCTTTACCGAAAGACCCATACAATATAAATACAGATACTGTCTTTTAAAATCAGTGTCTCAAGCTATTTAGAAGCCATGTTTGGTCTTATCGATTTATTGTTATTTTCATTAAAGTGTGCACATGACTTTTATTTATAAATGAATTAAAAATACAGGTAATTTAAATCCTAAAATCGTATATTAAGCTGTGTACAAAAGGATGTGTTTTTTTAATGTGCTTTGATAATATTTCTGCAGACTCCACCATCAAACAGTGAAGCATCCAACCAAAGCATTGGGAGTCATGGATCCCTTAGTGACAAAGAGACTGAGGTAAGGTGTTTGCACGTCTCTCATTCAAATAAATATTTACTTTACACTTTATATGTGGCCCGGAAGTTATACATTTTGATCAGTGTTGAGTTGTACCACACTGGTACATGTTAAAGTATGAAACGAGTAGTGGTTAAACAGTTTATAGTGTACATTATTTTCAACAGTGCTTATCCTGTCGCAGCTAAAAATAGACATTGATGGTAAATTCCAAGTTATTTTTATAAGTGTTAAGTATGCCAAATAGTCTGACATTTTAAAGGTCGCGTTCAGCTTTGAGCATTATTTGTGATATTGATCTTAAAGCTAATGCTGCCTACTTTGTGGATTTTTTTCCCATCCCTTCCTTAGCAAACTCCTGAAAAGAAGGCAACAGATATCAGAGTGCGGAAACGTAAAGCAGATGGCCAGGTTGATCCCAGCCAAAGTAATTGGAATGATTGTATTGTCTGCGTGTTGCAATTAAACATACAAACTATAGTACCGTGATTATTATTTTATGTAGCTTAGTTGAGACATGTTTAAAGGCATTTCACTAATTCTGTCTTGCCTACTTTGTTCCCAGTTAAAGGCTGCTCTAAAGGACCCAAAATTAGTGACTATTTTGAGGTAAGAGTCTAAAGACCTAACTTTTAAAGTTGCCTGTGTTGGTTCTAGTTTACCCATTCTCGACAGGGTTAACCATTTGCAACTTAGCTTAAATTGATGTTGCGTGTTGCATTTCACAGTTTGCTGCCGGAATAGTGCCCGGCATCAGCCCAACATGGGGTGCGATTCCTTTACCTAGGACACCCTCCCAGCTTTCCATCTCACAGCCATCATTTGTGAGTATCACCGTGACTTCCCTGTTTAATTTCGTTTGTAGAGACAACACCCTGGACAAGAATGTTGCCTTGCATGCTGGAAGCCATATGCATTCTTTTGCTTCAAATTACATTCATTTTCTGGTAGACAGAATCATGACATAATTATCTTTTTTGCAAAGTGTTTCATTTCAGATATTCATGAACAAATCATTGAGATGGCACTTTCACAGATGGTTTTGTAACAACTCATACCTAGTATGGCATTTACATTTCCCATATAAAATATTTGTTAAAATGGAAAGCTTTACATTCTATTTGGTACACATGAAAACCACCTGCATTTATTGCCTACTTTCGTAAATAGTTGCACGTGTGTTGTAAACAAGTGCATAAATCCACAAGCAGGATATCCATGTGACCAATTTACGTAACTTTTAAGGTTTTAACTTATTAGAATGGGCAGTCCTGTGACCACCCGCAAAGATTGGCCCAATTCCCATAACTGTCCTGCCAAAACCTTTTGAACAACTGTTGCAATTCAGACAAGGCCCTGTTTGTAAAGAGATGTAGCATTCTCAGCTCAAGACACTAATAAATAATCACGACTCGACTCTGTTTTGTCAGATGACCCAAGGCAGTCCACCTTCAGCTGGCGCTTTGGGCACAGATCATTCCCCTGTAAAGCATGGGCACTCTCCGGTCACGATGGTACACAAAAACAACCAGGTCTGCACGCACAGTGTGCACAGTTCGTCTACATTTAAGTAACACTTGCGTGACTGCATTGTGTCTTGTTTTGTGCGATAATGTTGGTTCACACGCATTTAACATTGTTTGTACCATAGACTGAAATCACCTTGGAGAAGATAAAGATGTTGGAAAATAACCAGAGCTCAGATTTGGAAAAAAAGGAGGGGAGAATCGATGACCTGCTCAGGGTATGATTTTTTTTTTTATCAGAAGCTTATTAACATTTTTTAAAATATATGTAAGGATGATCAAAACAATGGCACCATTCTAAATTATTTTTTAGATGACTCTGTCGTTTGATCGTTTCTGCAATGCATTCTCTGTTAGGCAAACTGTGACTTGAGGCGGCAGATCGAAGAGCAACAGAAGCTGCTTGAAAAGTTCAAGGAGAGACTCAACAAATGTGTGACTATGAGCAAGAAACTGCTGGTTGAAAAAGTAAGTACAGGAATGTAGGATGTATGGTTAGACCACGGTAACAAACGCACGGTCTTTTTTTGTCACCAGTTGCTAGCTGATGGATGCCTGTGCAAGCTTTCATTTAACCCTGTTATTGTGTGCAGTCTGAGCAGGAGAAGCAAGCATGCAGGGAGAAAAGCATGCAGGACCGACTGAGGCTTGGCCACTTTGTCACCGTCCGACATGGGGCCACCTTCACCGAGCAGTGGACAGACGGCTCGGCCTTCCAGAACCTCATCAAGTGAGTTACTCCCTCACGTCATTTTTTACTCATTGCTGACACAACTGGTTTGTGTTGTGAAGGAAAGCAGAGAGTGTGTTGTAAAGCAATGGTTATTTTCAGACTGTACCTTCTTACTTTGGGGCAAAGGTTTCCACCACTTTCATTCTTTTTTTTCCTTGGTTGATGTATGCATGTTTGCAAGCATGCCATTAAAATGTCTGGAGCATCTTTCCAGATTTTCATAATCAACACATTGATGGTGTCAGTAAAAAAAAAACACATTTGTAGAATGCCACGATTGTCATTAAACAGGCAACAAGAGTGGGTGAACCAGCAGCGGGAAGACATTGAACGGCAGCGGAAGTTGCTGGCCAAGCGAAAACCGCCGATGGCTGCCCACATGACCAGCCCAGCTTCTGCTGCGGAACAGAAGCAGCGCAAGAACAAGGCAGTCAATGGTGCCGACGACAACTTCGTAAAGCCAAGTGTACCACCGACGTGAGGACCAGCAGCTTCCTTTTCGAAGGAGTCTTAAATCGCCACTTTGCATGCAACGTTTGTGTGTGTGTTCACTACATACCATATATGGTTCCATGGCAGCAAGCGAAACTGTATGTGGAGCTCGGCTGACCATTCGCAGTCCCACCATTCCAAATACAAACTCCTTCATTGTTAGATGGGCCAATGTTAACACCGCAGTCACAAGGCAGCCGGTGGGAGCAGTTGGTGTTAGCGTGTTGTAGTAGCACAGCTGTGAGTACAAACCTGCCCCTGTGTAACTGTCGGCATGGACACACCTGTTCAAGTGTGAGCACCATTTATAAAAACTACACTTGGCATGACGCTGCGTGCATAGTTGTGCACGGCACGTGGATTTTTTGTTGCTTGTGTAGTGTGCAGTCCATCGTCGTTATTCATAAAGCTGCCTTTTTTGTTTTTGTTGTTTAATCTGTGAAGTAGTATAAGTTTTATAAGGTGGCTTTATTTGGCATGGAAAGTTATTCAATATTTGGTGATGCTATAAGATATTTTTTCTGATAGTGGATATAAGTAATGTGTATTGTTGTAACATTCTAAAATATTTTAATGATGCATTAATGTTTTTTTCCCTGACAAGCTCATAAAGTAACATCAAGCCTTTAACGTTGACAAGCAGTCTTTGAAGTATTGTTTTTGCGAAACCAAGTTTTCATACATGGGTTGTAACGAATCCTCGAGGGCTGCATATTTGATGTTTTTTTTCCTCTTGGGATGTTATAATCACCCCGACACTTGACATGCAATGCTGCTTGATCATATTTATATCCCTTATGATTTAAATGCATGTGCAAACAATTATCTACTTATGCAATATACCATACATCACATGTGACATTTGTTGTTTTTTCAGGTTAACGGTAGCTGAGTACCATGAGCAAGAAGAAATTTTAAAGCTCAGATTAGGACATCTTAAAAAGGTTTGATTTCTATTTGAAATCCACATTTCATAAACATTTCTGGAAGAAAAGAAACAGCCTTGCGCAACCCATATCCCACTCTTGCTTGTAGCAATCTCGAGTGCGTGTGCAATGCAGATGGTGGAGCTTTTGAGTGCGTGAGCACATCACTGTTTACACACACACAGCCCAGTTGTGTTGAGTGGTTGAGCTGGCCCTTGCGCTGTGTGTGTGTCGCTGTATACCGTAGGAGGAGGCTGAGATCCAGGCAGAGCTAGAAAGGCTGGAACGTACGAGGAACCTGCACATCCGTGAGCTCAAGCGGATTCACAATGAGGACAACTCGCAGTGAGTTTCTCGCTTAGCCATTATTCCAAATTTGGAGTTGTGTTGTCATTAACTGGTGGTGAAGCAAGTTCCTCCCTTACTATACTAGAATTAAACGTAACGCAGTTTGATGGTTACTCGCTCACCGTTGGTCAGTTGCCTACTTAACAGTCTTTGTTTCTACTACCATGGTTACTATTGCCATAGATTTATTGATTTTTCAACCGATGCTTAATCTACCAGAATGACTGTCTAACCCATACTGTTTTCAACCACCATATTTCAGGACAAACACTTCTGTCTGCTTCATTCCTCACACTGCTAAATTTTGAATACCAGTCCCATTGTCTCTATTCTCAAGTTCATGTAACTGCTCAATTCAAGACATGCATTCACTTTGTTATACCTTCAATAGTGTTATTTGTTGCTTGTCACGTGCCATTTTGGGCCTGTGCTCAGCAACTGTGATTTTTTGTTTATTTTAGAAATTCTCACAGTGACTGTGTGCAACAAGTGTTTTTGCCCCCCTAGCAACCTGAAATTGAAATTATGTTCTAGATTTAAAGCTTTAAGTGTTCAAATGTGATGTAAACTCAAGTGGCTACATTTTCAAACATGGGCTCTCATAAATCACCAAAAAAAGCAGGCAAGTCGTTTCATTCGTGCAGGTAAAAAAATGAGAGTAATAGCTACTCCTAACATTTTCCCACCAGGGGGTGTATACATGAAAGGTCATGCATTTTTTTTAAGTATTGTGTTTTTTCAAAAGCAAATTGAGAATTCACCGCTCTTTGTAATTTAATATTTGTGTTTTAAAATTAAGTATCCATCCACTGCTGGATGAAGGTCTCCCCCATGCTTTTCGGTCATGGAGGTTCTTAGGCCATACATTTACATGCTAGTCAGTGCGAGTTTGTGAAATGGGGGCCCAAGAACCATCACTTGCCAATGATATTAAACGTGACCAGGCATAAAACTCAGGTTGCCGGATTCATAGTGAAGTGCGCCAACCACGACTGCTGCACCACTCCGTCTCTGTATTATATCGGGTATAAATGTATTTTGACTGGGCATTTGAGAGCTTCAAGAAATGATTTGTGCAGAATGTTGCATATGTGGTCAGTCTCAATTTGGCCACGACCATAAGATCTTGACTTGGCAGTAGTTTTAGTTGACAAAAAGTATCTGTTTCATTGATATATTTGAAGTTCTAATAAAATGGCCCAGGTTTGTTCCTTTGACAAACTAGATCACCGCACATGTCTGATTGTCGACATTTTTCAACGCATATTAACCATCAAAATGTGTATTGCATTTAGAAGTAAACATCCGTTTTACACTTAAAGCTGGAAACAGGGTAAAGCCTCAATTTTACAAGCAAAGAAAGTCCAATTGACTACTATTTGGCAATGTTGGAAGGAAAATGTGCAAAATTGTGTCCCTGGGCTGTTGGTTGTCGTTTGAGAGAATATAAAAATGTATATCCGCATGTGTGGTTATTCCAAACCATATTGAAGTGCCCCAGATTAAGCTGTTATGTTTGGAATCTGTAACGTGCATTTGTGTAAAGCATTCTAAGCAAAGCGGTAATGTAAAGGTAGCTTGATTGAAAGATTAAAGAATGGATGTTAAATAGTTAACATTGAAATTTAAATTAGCTGGCTGTGTGATGTGGTTTTCTTATTGGTGTTACATTTAGATTGTACTAAATACTTGAATGACTTGGCAATCATGGGTAGTGACGTAATGACTCTGCTCAATACTGTTCAAGATCTGTCTATTATAAACTAAATTGCCGCATATGTAATGTTTTTGGATAATTACAATTGTCAGATTGTTACCCATGTAACCACAATATCTTGTTTATTGACATACCATCACAAATACTTAAGTAATGGTTTTGGAATCCATTCCCACCTCTTAATATTAATTGCACACTTTTCTGGCAGTGCTTTTCACTGCACCCAGTGCATTTTCGCCAAATGAAAAGGCAATTGCGTACAGCCCTATATTATTCACATCGTGGTGCAACACTTGTCATAACCTCTAAAATGTTAGGTATATTAAAAAAAGACTACCTACTGGCAATTTATTGGAAGGCTTTTTTTGTGGGGAAATGCTTTGCTTTTGTAAGTGCTTCAATGACGACATATATATTTTTTTTATAAAATTGAATTACTTGATCCCCTTTAACGATTTAAGATAAATGAGATTTTGGCTTTGTGGCTGCCATTGCACATGCACAATTTACACTTTTTTATGATGGTTGGGCTCTGAAAGTGGTGTAGGTCAAGAGGTCACCATGGCCAGTGCCTTGATTGCACAACTGCAACCATTTTACCGTTATCACATTTGCCTGTTACATGTATTCTGTAAAGCTACGTTCAAAACTGCTATTTATATAAATGATATTGGCATTGTATGATAATTTTACACGGTTATCGAAAGGGTTTGAATACCTAACACATTTAACTTATGATAAAATCTTCATACATTGCAAAGTTTTAATACAACCTAAGTGGGTGATTTTATTGTTGTCACCATTGCTGAAGAAGATAGCTGTTTGTTTTATTTATCTGAAAACAACCTCCAGGCTTGAGATTAAAAAAGTATTATTGGCGATTCCTTTGTCATTCAGTGATGCATCTTCCGATCGCACAACCAATGCAAAGTTGTAAACATCTCAATGCAGGTTTCCTGTCTCTAAGCAACAGGAACAGTACTTGTTTGGTTAAAGCAAAGGTCTACTTACAACAGCACACGTGCAATCAAGAGTTCCCTTAAAATTTTAGTCTAGAGGAACATGTGTATATGCTCATAAAATTGTACACTTTTCATTTCAAAACTTGAGGTTTAAGAAAAAATATTTTATTTGATATCACAAAGCCTAAGTGTTACGTGGATGGGTCATGTGATCAAATGATTATACACAGCATTGACATATTTTCTTTGGTGTTAATTGGATGACTGTAAACCTGTTAGATCCGCTGATGGCACGGACCATATTTTTAACTGCCCTACTTTTTACATTTGTTTTTTCAGGTTTAAAGATCACCCAACGTTGAATGACAGATACCTCCTGCTTCATCTATTGGGGAGGGGAGGGTTCAGTGAAGTGTACAAAGTAAGTACCTTTAATTCTAATGGATTTTTGCAACAGTTAAATGTGTTAAAATGGAAAGAGCCAATATTATTTGTTTTTAATTGCCAGGCTTTTGACTTGCAAGAACAGAGGTATGTGGCTGTGAAGATCCACCAGCTTAACAAAAACTGGAGAGATGAGAAAAAGGAGAACTACCACAAGTGAGTGGAGCATTTTATGTGATACTGCTCCCTCTGTCTGGGGTGTATTTACATTTATATACAGTGATTGCATACAGGCAAAACAAATTGGATAGTTAAAAATACTAATCTACATTGTCTTAAGCCATCTGCGTTTCCCGTCGTGTATCCTTCAATTACCCTTTGGAGGAAACTAAAGCTGCAACAAGTGATCTAAATCCATCGGATCCCAGTAACTGAACATTAACAAGGAAAAATACATACTGTCACTGTTGACCCTTCTCTGAAGGTGCTATAGTTGAAATGTTTGTACACGTTCGTCATTGACACCTGGCCTATTCTTATGGTAATGGCCGATGTTTCATTGGTGATGACTTCTTCTGTCACCTCAGTCTGGAAGGCTTTACTTGATGTAAGTGGTGAGGCCATATTTCAGATGATGGCAGAAATTATGTTATATCCATCGATTTTATACTCTTTGGTTCTTTCGGTAAAGTCACATAGAAATAAAATAAAACCAATCACGACATTTCTATTGCAACACAAACGGTCGTCATCAGGCAAAGGAGTCGGCCTCTAAAGGCAAACTGTTTATAAAGGTTTGGGAATGGGCATAGCCCAAGTTGTATAAACAGCACCAGGAGCATGGGTGGTGCACGAGTGCCAATGCAGCAACAATGCCAATGCAGCAACAATGCCAATGCAGCAGCAATGCCAGTGAGTCGGTTATCTTCGTCGTGGGTTTCCTAGAGTGCAACAACGTCGATGTGTTCTTGATGTAATCACTTGCCGAGTTCCTCACACTTTGCACGTGAGAGGCCTTCCACGTTTAGTTTATACACTTGTAATGCTGGTCCCACTCTTCTTTGGCTGATGTTTTGGCCCTGAAAAGAACAATTTTTTGGACAGGATTTACAAATATACACGATTTCCAAAAAGGCAGAAGTGATGGTTTTAGTCGTGCGATGAGGCACTTAATCCGGCTTTTCGACCTGCCCAGAAGCTGCTGTGAGCAGGTCCTTCCCCTCACCAGCTACATCAAAGCTGGATTCCAGCGAAAGAGAAAAACCTGTTGCCGTGATAGACCTCTCCTCTGCCTATGACACCGTCCGTAGAGATGGGCCTCCTACTCAAGGCAGCACACATCATCAAGTGTCACACCTTTCCGGTAACACAAGCCATGCAAAAAATGTCAACAGTGGCTTACCTCAGGGATCAGTACTGGCTCCGATCCTGTTTAACATTTTCACCAGCGACCTGTAAAATGTCTATGCTGACGACATAGCAATGGCTACTCGGGGAACAAACCTGAAGTGAAGTGTTAGAAGACTACTTCCAAAGGTAGAGACTATGACCAAGTCCATCCAAAACGACTCAATCCACCATCTCAATAACTGAGACATAAAGGCCCAGTTGGAAGTGACTTTCTGTGGTAACCCCATCAAAACGAGCCATATCCCAAGTATTTGGGCATAACATTGGACAGAAGCCTCACATTAAAAAGCACATCGAAAAGGTGAGCGAAAAAACTTAAAGCAGAGGGGCTCTGGTGCGCAAACTTGCCGGTACAACGTGGGGAACTGCCGAGTATTGCGTGCAAGTCTAGGCATCAAGTGTCCACACAAATAAATTGGACGTCCAGATCAACAGCATCCTTCGACCGATAACGAGCACACTGAAATGCACTCCGACTGAGTGGCTACTGGTTCAAGCAAACATTACGCCAGCAAACCTCCACCGGGATGCCGCGACGTCAAACCAACTAGGAAAAATCCAAGGAAGTGTATATCTACCGTTACACCAATACCTGCTCGACCCTCCATGAACCCATCTTAAATCCTGGAAACCAATCTGGAATCACGCGAGACAATTGGATGATGCGGGTCAACTGAAGACTGCTGGCGATCACCTTGGAGTTCTGCGGAGGTTCCAAATAAATCCTCATCGACGACCCCACCATTGCTCCGCACGGTTTTGATGTGCCGAGAAAATATGGTGCTCCATCAACCGCTTCAGAACAGCTACTGGTCGCTGTACACACCTCCACAAGTGGAGAATTCCTAACAACCCACAGTGTGACTGCTGCCACCCGAAACAGACAATGGACCATATCGTGAATAACTGCATCTTACGCCCACTCTCTGGCGGACTGAGCAGTATTAGTCGTGCAACTCCCGAAGCTATCACATGGCTCACAGACTTAAACTTGGACGTGTGATTTTCACATACTTTCCATATGCTAGAGAGTTGAATTTTGAGGGTCTATCAGCCGCATAGCACGTTCTGAAAAACTGTCTGCAATATTAGTGCACGTCATATTCTCTCTACTTTTTACTAATCCTCATTTTGCAGGCACGCGTGTCGAGAGTACAGAATACACAAGGAACTGGATCATCCACGAATAGTAAAGCTCTACGATTACTTCTCTCTCGACACCGATTCGTGAGTAAACATTCTGGTATTTTGGACTTTTTATTGAACTAATATGAAAGCAAGTGAGTGTTTGTGTGGAATTTTTACATTTTATTTTAATACATTTTATGTATTATCATCACCACCTCTAGGTTTTGTACAGTGCTGGAATACATCCATGGGAATGACCTGGACTTCTACTTGAAGCAGCACAAGCTGATGTCGGAGAAAGAGGCACGCTCAATCATTATGCAGATCGTGAGTGCTCTCAAGTACCTGAACGAGATCAAGCCACCCATCATACACTACGACCTCAAGCCAGGTATTGTTGCAGGATCCCATTCACCCATCCCAGTTGTCTAGACAAATTAATCAATATCCCAATTATGGTCAAATTTTATGACTGCACTGGCCACTATTTTATATTACAGTCATAATAAGGTGTAAGTGGGCAGTTATATTTTCAGTACCCACTGTCTGCCTTGAAAACAGAATGAATCCTAAAAACACTACACTCCAGTTTTCATTTAATATACAATCAAGTTTGCATTTAACATCTCTCATTAGGGTTCATAGTTTACATGCAATAAACATTTACTGTGCTGGCCTTGAAAGAGCTTAGAACAATTGCTGGTAACATGTAATTCTCAACTTTGACCCAACATGAACCACTTACCGCCACTCGCCCCACAACCCACATACCTTTTGAAATCAGGCAACATCCTGCTGGTGGATGGAAAATCTTGTGGTGAAATAAAGATCACCGACTTTGGGCTATCCAAGATCATGGACGATGAAAACTACAATGCTGTGGATGGCATGGATCTGACATCTCAGGGGGCAGGAACCTACTGGTAAAATATATATTTTTAATAAACAAAATAAATCAATGTAATATATATTTATCTTAAAAAAATATTTGTACTTTACAAAGGAAGTTATGGTCTTGAATGCCTTATCGAAGGAAAATAACATTTTATTTGTATTTGGGGCAGTGGTGCAGTGGCTATTGCACTGCGCTATGAACCCAGTGAGCTAACTTTAATTCCTGACTACGGCTACCATCATTGGCGAGTGATGTGTGAACCAGTCCTGGGCTCACCTTTAACCAACCCACACGAGTATGTGTCGGTGTAAATTATGAGAAGGCCTTCATCCAGCTGGGGATTGACGCTTCACATAAGATTGATGAACATGTTTTATTCCTTTAAGTACCTTTAAGCATTGTACTTATACATATTTTAAATACATATATTAATTTAGTGCACATGTAAAATGGTGTAATATATTCATAGTACCATGTGTTTATAAATGTACTTGTAAATATTAATCAGCTGGTCTTGAATCTTGACTTAAAGCTGGTCTTGTTGAGAGTTGCAAATGTTGTGCATTACTGTGCAACATTTCAGTGTTTTTGTACTATTTTTCTAGGTACTTGCCTCCAGAATGTTTTGTAGTTGGGAAGGAGCCACCAAAGATCTCAAATAAGGTGGATGTGTGGTCTGTTGGCGTCATCTTCTACCAGTGCCTTTATGGGCGAAAGGTGCTTAACCTCGCATTGTTTATTTTTTCTTCAAATATATTTTTATGATTTGTTTATTTTTAAGTTTTAATTCCACAATTTTGCATCATTTTTGTGCAGCCTTTTGGGCACAACCAGTCTCAACAAGACATCCTTCAGGAGAAAACCATCCTGAGAGCTACAGAGGTGCAGTTTCCCGTCAAGCCCGTCGCCTCAAATGAGGCCAAGGTATGTCTATATCTAGCTCGGGGTTTTTAAACATGGCCATGATGGCATATGGCTGCAGTGTAAGGAGGCAATAAATGCTTTGAGTTTCAATTATGAGCTGAATCACTCAATGACCTTCATTTAAAACCATGCAGAAGCCTATCAAGGCATGTGAATGTAGTTAATAAATAACGAGACTGATGGCAGTCTCATGGAGACAGCTTTGAGGGAATGAAATTGAGACAGCTCAATTTAAAGGCATACAGATCCTTGTGTGTGGACTGTGCTTGGTTTTCTATCAATGTTGCACACAATGTGATTTGTTTGAGGAAAAAAAGTCACAAGTTGGTGTGGTCTTAGGCATTCATTCGTCGCTGCCTGGCCTACCGCAAGGAGGACCGCATCCACGTACAGCAGCTGGCCAGCGATTTGTACCTCATGCCTCACATCCGCAAGTCTCCTGCGAACACCAATACACATACGCCCAACTCCTCTGCCTCTGCTACCGCGTCATCCAACAGCAACTCCAACTAGTCAGCTTGGTGGCACACACTGCCCACAGCAACGGGGTCGGGGGGGAGGGTCTGTGCTCTACGGAGACCCGAAGCTTGATGGATTCAGAGGCTGTGGGCATGAGAAATAACATCTCCGTTAACTTCTTAGAGGAGCGGTGATGCTGCGGAGGTGGACACTGACCCTACAATGTGTTTTTGGGCATTGTTTAGCCTGGTGTCCAGGCCACACACTTTTTAGGGCTGGGAGTCGTCGAAACCCGAAGTTCAGCCATAATGCCTCACCGTCTCCTGAACTGTTATAGAGAAAAGGGAGATGCTCAAGTGCTTTGGCGCCTGAGTTAAGGTTTACTTCACGGTGTGAAAAAAACTTACAAAGCTGCCATTCGTCTTTCGCTACCTGTCATCCATTTTTGAAACTGATCTGGGGAAGACTTGAAGCTTTACTGAGAGGATAAGTTCTTGTGTACATACATGTATAAATTTTAGAACGATGAAGGTCTTTGTTGGAAAGTTGATGGGCCGTGCAAGTTCGTGAGTGTTTGTTGAGCGATGTGAAATATAAAGTTAGAGGTCGTTGAATAATGTTGCACATGCATGACTGATTTTTTTTGGTGCAAAAAATGTAGTTTACTTATCTCTGTAATGAACATTTAAATTTTAAAAAAGAATCTAATATGACTACCACTGGCATTGGTTAAGTGAGTTGAAGTGCAGAATTAAAATTATTTTTAAAAAATACTTGAAAAGTTCAGTGAAGTTGCCCTTGTGTGGGAGTGTGATTAGGGATTGTGTAATTGTTAAAAAAAATTGAAATTGTTATACATGTACATAATCCAATGCTTTTAGTCTGTAAAGATGATGCCACCATCTCTTTTTTTACTTATGCAGTGTATGAATGACCCCTGGGTGCTGAGCACTTTATACTCCATATAACCTTAACTTTGGTTTATGCAGATCGGTTATTGTATGGCATAGCATTTTACACAAGAAGTTATTTAACAACCTATTAGAATGGACAATTTATCATTTTCATGAGTGCCATTCCTATATCATTTAATAAATAAAATGCGACAATATTAAGTACTGTTACATGACCATTACATTTCTGTAGGGTGCTTAAAAACCTCAGTTAAGGTAGGAGTATTGAGTTGAGTGATGTGAAGTGCATGTGGGGTGAATTGCGTGGCTTTTTATAATAGTCTACTACCAACAATGCCCTAGTCTACAGTCTCTTCAGTCAATTCAAGTTGAAATAAAGATTTACTGCAAAGAAATTAAAATGGCAGAGCTTGGCTCTTTAGTGTGTGCTGTGTGGATTCCGATGTGTGTAGTATTGAGGTGTGGTTACAATTGATGAGTTGCCCACTTTCAAACAATGTTTTCTGTTCAAAGTGTAAGCTGTCTCCTTAAACACAACTATTCACAGTAAGCATAGAACACTAATCAATGTAGGGTCTTGTGTATTGTGTAAAATGTGCAAATGAAAAAAATGGTTTACATAAAGTATAATGATAAAGCATCATGCAGGACAGTATTTTAGTTGTAGAGATATTTTTTATATTGTTACTAATTCTCCACAACGACACTGATTGTTTTGTTATATTCACATCAGAGGGGTTGCTTGGGTTATTAAAAAAATACGTTTCGGTTCAATGGTTCATCTATTGCATTGGAGACTTGTTATCATACAAATTATGTCTGCTATGTTGCTTTGGTTCCTTGGCAATGTGAAGTAAAAATATATTTGTAGCCTTCAACCCCCTGTTGTATTCCTACTTTTAGATTACAGTGTAAAAGTATCATGATCATCAATGATTCGCTTTTTGTATGTTGTCATGCGACAAAATTGAGACATTCCAGCAACTAAAAAGAAACGATTACTAACTCAAATCTCCAGGGTTAAATAAGTGTCCACCTTGTCATGAACGGCACGGATTCATGTTAAATGATGAATTATTTGCATCTAAATTGGGAAACGCTTTGTGGTAACTGAATGTTCATTCATATGCAGTTCTGTAGTGCTAAAGTACTTTTTTTGTGGGTCGGAGCTCAAAACGAGTACAATAGTGGTCATCTGTTCTTGCACAGATAGCTGGTGGCATCATTCACTTAAAGCAGTGGTTCTTAACCTGGGATGCACACACCTTCTAGGGGTATGAGTTGCCCTTTCAGGGGGTGCCAGACATGCCAGATTTCTTTAGAAGGTAAATCATCAAAACAAATTCGGCATGGGCACGTATGTACAGCTACTTTCGTTTCATTAAACATGTATTATACAAGTTTTAACGTGTGAGAGAACCAAAGAGGTGCAAGGCTGCAGTAAAGGTTAAGAACCACTGGATTAAAGGATCAATCTAGGAGTAAAGTTCCACCAGTAATAAATCTGATAAGCACGTGCTTGCATTCCTGTCAACATTTTTAAGACGTTACTCTACTTAAGATTGCTTCCCCATTGACTTAAATTCCATTAATACGCGCCGTTGGACCATCATGTTTGTTCATTTTCATAATCGGCACTTAACGTTCACCCAAAAGCTCTCCTACAATTGTTTCATTTGTGCGGCCTCGTATTCATCATTCGCCTCTTCTGTACTGTCATTCGTATTGTTAACCTCACTTGAACTGCCTCCTGTGTCTTATCTTGTGTGGGTTGCTTAAATCATAAAATACGATTCGTGCATGTATCAAGGGCATATGAATCGATTTTAATTGATGTAAGTTGACCCCGCACCACTCTTTTACGGCATTGCATTCAGGCGCGTTATACCGTATTGTATTTTTATTATGTGCCAGTACGTGATAAAAGAATCTCACCAAAGGATATTTTTACTTGTGTTAATTAGTAAGGGAATTGTGAGGTTAAATACCACGAGAATGAAAATGAACCCATTTGACGTTTTCATCCTTCCCCTAGTGCCACGGTGCTAATGAATGGAACCCTTTTGTAACAGCAAAATAAACAAGTAGACATATCTCCTTCATATAGCTATCCTTCCACATAAAATATAAAGTATTTAACACGTCCCATAAACCACAAGACAGGATTTCATAACTTGTATTTTGTGTTATTTATCGTATCATTTAGCGTTGAATTAGGACCCGTATTTATAATTTCTGGAAATTTACCAGCATTGGTTCAAGCAACCCATCTGGTGAGACATATCCAAACCGGTCGATTTTGTTTGTAATAAACCAATGTTGCTGAAATTATGCACTCCCAGAAGCTCTTATGGTTAACGCAAAGTGTAAAATATGTTTTTATCACTCAGACGTTCTTTGGACGTGACTGTCCGTCCCTCCCCCCAACCAGCCAGCAAAACTTGTTTTATAGTACGGTCCTGTATGGTACTGAATATGAAAGTGTGACAGCGGGATCCACGGCCGAGGTGGAGGGTGGGTGGGGGTGGTGTGACGTCGGCACGCACGAACTCTGTCAAGGCCACCCATGAATCCAGGCATGTATGGAGCCAGCAAAATGCTTTTTTTTCCAATATAGCATGATGTGGTGTAAGAGATATATGAAGGAGATATTGTCCGCTTCACTTTTTGATTGTATGCGCATCGACGATACTGATTATTTTGTCCAGTACTGTTTAAAGAGCTCGCGACAAATAGGATCACTGCCACGGCTGTTCTGATAAAGTCGATTTCCACTCCGTTATCTGCAGCGCAACGTAGTGACATTAACGCCGCATTAGCATGTGTCGCTTCCGGTTAAGTGTGACTAAAACACATACACATTCGTCAAGAACTACCTTAAAATGAAAAAAATATAATTGACGACCCTTTGGACAATGGCCCGCCCCTTCATAGCAGAGAGAGGCCAGACAGGATAAGGGGTCTGATAAGAATTGTTAAAAAATCCTAATAATTTGAAATTGACACGAACACGTACGTATTAGTAGCTGTTGAATAACTTACAAAAAAAATAATCACAAAGTGTTACTAAATAAAATAATGTACAATATATTAAAAGAAGTTCCGGCACATTGCATTATGTGAATGTTTTTGTAAGGTCAATGAATAAAGCGTTTGGTGTCAAGTGATGCATTTCTTGGCCCAATTATCGTTTTAATTAGAGACTGAGATACTTCAGTTGCTCTACATTCCTGAACGTTGCGGGAGGGGTAGTATAATGTATGGGAGGCAATTTCAAAACCAGTTTTATTTGAATGTCTTTTTAGACCCTGCTGTCATTTTTTTAAATGAGAAATTCAATGTGACACGTATATGAAACTAAAAAGGGAAAATGTCTAGCACTCGACAATAAACGTATGTTTTAAGTGAAGGTGATGTGGGCATTCAGTCCTGTCGGTTTAACAGTACTGTATTCAGGTCTAAATGACATAGCCTAAATCTTGACTTAAATCGTTCGTGACTGCAGGAATTAAAATATCTAAATCTTTTGAACAGTTTGCCTTTAGAAGCTAACCCCCTTTTCCTGATGACGACCGCTTGTGTTGCGATCGAAACGTCGTAGTTTTTTTTATTTTCTTTGAACCTATCTACATGACTTTACCGAAAGACCCAAATAATGTGATGTAGCCTTCTGTCCTTTTTCTGGTCTAATTCCCACCATAAATCAATACAAGTCCACGTACCAACAAGTCACTAGGGCTATGGTCCCAGCAACGAATGGGACTAAATATGAGATTGGGATCCACCATAACAGCATTGCCAGTTACTGAATGAAAAACATACGATTGCCGCAAATACAGTAGACATATCTAGCAAGAAACATATCTAGAGATCGCTGGTTGCATTCCATCTTCTGGCACTGCATTTGAAACAATGGGAAAGTTTACTCAATGCCCCGGCATTATCTACGCAGTTGTACAAATGGGTACACTATCGATCGGCAGATAGTGGAATAAAGTGTGGATATGCTCACCTGCTCCAAGATCCGGTTATCGTGGAAGAGTAGACCAGATAGCCCATACAACCCCGTCACGTCGGAATCGCTTCCAGCAGCAGCGTGAGTGTAGCACTTGCGAACTGTAGGGCATTTATGTCCAATTCAGTGGCTGCACATTATTTGAGAATGAGTTTCAAGTGAACTCGGGGACTGACATGCATACAACGATGGACGTGAAGACTTCTCCAGGGTACTTTCCCTTTTATTCTCCAACTCGAAATCTGCACAGAGAATGCCACGCTCAGCTCTGAGTCCACGTGTCACAGCACATGTCTCGACGCCAAAGCTCCCCCGATACCCGCTTCACCATCGCCCCTGGTGGCCATAGTTAACACAAAGTTATATCCTGCCAAAATACAATTTGTCCATATTAGTCCCCTATTTACCTCCTACGCACTGTAAATATACAATGTTAACAGTATATTCTTGGTTCTTTCGGTAAAGTCACGTAGAAGGGAAACAATACAAATATAAAACTATTATTGTTTCCCTTCTACGTGACTTTACCGAAAGAACCAAGAATATGAATCCCTGCAGTCACGAAAGCTTTAAATCAAAATTTAATGTTAACAATATTAACCAATAATAACACCCTTCACGATGTTAACTATCATAGCAATAACTCAACATTATGACCACCTCAGTGAACTTTATAAATTGTTGAGCATGAACGATTGATTGTAATCATGTACTGTACTGTTATTGACTCATGAATTATGAATATAAACATCCAAATAAACCATTCAAAACTCGTTTATGGGTCTGGTCACAGCTACTCATAAGGTATTTAATACAGTTACTGTGTCAATGTGAAACACTGTCTTTACTGTCAAAAAATTTCAGCATGTATTATTTACTTACTAGGGGTTGTTCGGGGGTGCCATAGGGACCCCCTCAATTATTTACGGCCTTCGGCCAGGAAAGTCACAAAACAAATTGCACACGAACGACGCATTCACGCAAGCACCCGATGCTCCGTTTTGAAGTTTTAAAATGAAACATCTTTGAATTGTAGTTTTGAATTAGATAATTTTATTTCTTCATTAAAAGCTTATATCATTTTTCATCTGGAGAAAACCTTCATTGAAAAGGACATTTCGTGTGAATTTTCTCTCGTCGTTAAGTCGATAGCCTTGCTTGGGGGGTTCGGTTCGATGCGGACTTTCACCTGTTTGGGATTGCGGGATCGAGATCAGGCGACAGAGAGCTGCTGGCCGTGCGAGAAGACCGCCGTCTGCAGATCGATTCCAACGTAATCCAACGTCTCTCCCTGCGCCTCCGTCGTTCATGCAGGGGGCACGTGTAGGTTTGCAGCGCTCCCTGCATGAAAACGATGGAAAGTGATAGCGTTCATCGCATAGATAACGTTGCGCGCTTATGTAAGAGTATATCAAATACAGTACTTTAATTAGATCATTGTGCTGTTGACCATGCTCACAAACGAGTCTTGAGAATAATCTAAGCTCCGCAGCTATTTAACTCTGAATTCTGAAATGTACATATTAAATCAGTAATACGATTTTCACCGCACTGCAACTTTACGGACATCATCTTGCCTTCAGCCTGTTCAAGACGCCTATTCACTTCTCAAGCAACGAACTCCCTCAATAACAGATTCTAACCTTGTCCCACCGATCTCTACATCTGCGAATAGTTTATTAGCACTTGATGTCCCCTTTCAGTGACTCAAGTGCACGTGCTGTACATAGGAGAATGTCACATGGCAGCCCTCTGCCCACGTGGCACAGCACACGCGTGGGCCGCGTCGATGATTATTAGGGGCCGTCCATAAATGACGTCACGCACCTGGGGGTGGGGGGGACGATGTGTGACGATGTGTGACGACGGGGGGGGGGGGGGTTGAGAAATGTGACGTCACATTAAAATGCGCAACTTTAAATAAATATAGACAACACGTTCTACTTAATTAAATAGACTTTTTAATGTTTTCTCCTACATCAGAGTGCAGCGCCACATTAAATACGCACTACAATGACAATAGTTTAAAGCAATTCGAAGCATGTTTTATTGGGGGGGGGGGGCAGAGCTTTGTGACGTCATATTTGAGGGGGGGTCTGACTTTTTGTGACGCCGTGTGACGATGGGGGGGGGGGGGGGGTAAAAAAATCCTCCAAAATCGCGTGACGTCATTATGGACGACCCCTTAGGGCATCACGTCAACACAAGGACGGGGCGATATGGATTGCGGGGGGGGCAGAGCCTCAGCATTGCATATCCGATTACTATTTATTTTTCTACCAGGTAAGGCCCACTAAGCTACATAGTTGCTCTTTTGCAGACCTGGCCACAAATGATAGCTCAACCAAGTGGCTTATCACGTGGACATGTATAGCAGCCAAATGCTCTTTAAACGCAAGTTGATTGTAAATGTGGAGGGGGAAATCCACGCAACGGCGGGGATAGACACTCCAAATATGCATGCATCAGGGTCGGGATCGAACCCACGACCTCCTCCATACCAGGCGAGATAGCATCCTGCCATTTAAAGAGTCCTTACATGGGAATGCAATATTTTTGCACCCTGATAAAAACATGTTTTTTTTGGAGGGGGGGGGGGTAGGATCTTATCTCAGACTCCTACTTAACAACCTGTGCCACACAAGCGATTGCACCTTCACCCATGAACGAAGGCAAACGCATTTGGGCCGCCGCCCCATCACTGGTCCGCTCGGGTCTCGGTGGCAGAGAACTGCGCTCTCGCGTGGCCTGCGAATTCGTACACAAAACTGCGAGATGCATAATGAAAGAACGCAATGCGCATCATAACTGTAACACTAAAACCGAAACCAACCACCCCGACTCCTTGTTCTGGCGAACATTTTGCCACCAAATATCCCCAGAGATATGCAAAAAGAAAGGGAGTTTCCACGTATTACCAACAAGCAATCTACCCGTCAACCAAGACCTCAAACGTACTCTCACCATCCACGACTCTCACCCAGATCAGATGATGTACCATGAATAAACACCTCATTCGAGACCCAAACATTATCATCGCACCTCCTGGCTTTCACATGCCACCTCGAAGACACCGATGTAATTCTCTACCGCATAACATCAAAAGGCCGATGCACGCATCTCCTGAGGCACATTTTGTGCGATTGTGGCCATACAACCCAAGGTATGGCCCATAAAGTAAACTACGGTAGTCTGTGAACCTTCTACGTAGGAATATTTAAACAGAATTACCACCAAAAAAATCCACGATAAACGGCAACGGTTCATGCCTTCGGAACGGAAAATCGACTAAAAACGGTAACTGGTTTGTCTCTTTAACGATTCTTAAATGAAAACCACATTCGCCACGAAGTGGTGGTCAACACGGAACCTGTGCCAGGCCAGGTGCACTTTGAGGCTATCACGTGAAGTGTCGAAAGCTCGCTGACAAGGGGTCACGGGGACAAGTCCCAGGTAAGCATAACAGTGCCTACCGTATGGACCTGAAAACTCAATTTCCCTGTACAAGAAAACGGGTAAACCGTACTCGTTGACAGGTGTGGCAGGTGCCATGGGTTGACTGACTTAGATGACTGGCAGATGCACCAGCTGTGCCCCCTACTGTGCCAACTTGCTGTAGTTTATCTGCCCGGCGCTCTCCGATCGTTGTTGTGAGCGTCGCTCCGCTTGCCCTCCGTTGTTGCAAATGAAAATAAAAACCCCACGTGGGCCCTCGATAACACGGAAGCGAAATAAGCCACGCGAGAGAAAGAGGCGTGGGAATATGGCGCGACGCAAGACACGAGGTGGATCTCGCCGTTGTGGATCTCGGAGCTGGGATTCACCGTCCGTTGTACATGGTGTGCATAACCGGAAGCGTTTGGCCGGCTCCGGATGCCTCTTTTTGAAATCCGATCCAGGTTGCGTTGCGCGCACAAGAACACGTGCGCTGGGCAAGACGCGCTGCAACACGGCGTGGAGTGCACAATTGAATTCGGAGCCGGCAAGAAGATACCACGTGGAATGTGCAAAGTGACAATTTGTCACTTTATAACAACTGTGCGGGTGATATATGATAAAAATAAATAAAAACGCGGTATTATATTTTTTTAAATCGCAACTGTTATAACAGCAGTAGCGGGCGATGGTAACCCGTGCGATTATTTAATTTACGCTCCGCTCCGGAGTTTGAATCCTTCAACCGCGCTGGGCCGAGAGTGGCGCTAGCTAGGCCCGTTTAACTTCTCGTCCACGGATCCCGGGGGCTTTCGCAGATTCCCGACTGTTCGGGCAGCTGGCGAAACGACCGCGGATAATCGGGAGCTGTCTTGCCCCCCATTCATTGGCAAAGGGGGGGAACCTGGGCGCTTGGCTTCCCTCCGCTCTCGTCCGCCGCCACCGCTCGGGGATTTTATCCAGCCACATTGACCGTCGGCGACTTTGAGCGCCTCCAACTGGAGCCCGCGTCTCGCCGTGCTGAAGCTGCCCGCCTAGCGATGCCAAACCGACTGCACCGTCACCTGCGATTGAGGACTCGTTCACTGATTGCGTGACGTCTGCGGAGCTGCTGGAGACTTACGCCCGACCGCTGCTTGTACTCGGCCGGCAACCGGTGGGTGGGGGTGAACTCCCTCTTCGCGGAGTTGACCCCCGGCCCCCCACGTGGTTGACTCTACTAAGGGTTGACTGCTCTGGGAACTGACCCTGCTGGAGTTTGACCCCCGTCTCGGAGTTGACCGTCTATCTTGGAGTCGACGCCAGCCAAGGTTGATCTCTCTCGTTGGAGTGGGCCCTCTTGTGTAGTTGACCTAGTCACGCTTGACACCTTTAGGGGTTAACACCGCTTATGGTTAACCCTTTATTGATGTTGACCCCTAGGGGTTGACCCCGTCTTGGAGTTGACCCCCCATCATCAGCAGGGTTGACCACTCAGGGTTGACTAATCTCTTGAGTTGACCCCTTCTTGAAGTTGACCCCTATCAGGGTTGAACCCGTCTTGGAGTTGACCCCCATCTCATCATCACCATCAAGTCTGACCACTCAGGGTTGACTCATCTCTTGAGTGGGTCCCCTTCTTGAAGTTGACCCCTCCTTGGAGTTGACCCCCCATCATCGCCAGGGTTGACCTCCTCCTGGAGCCATGCGCCACCACCTCCGTGCGCTGTGTCTGTGCGCGGTGGCCCTGGGTCTGTGTGTGGCCGTGACCCAGGCGTCGCTGGGAGACCGGCAGCCCCACTACGCGCAGTGCGTGAAGCGGTGCACGCGGGGCAACTGCACGGGCCACGTGCGGCCCTTCTACATGCCCTACACAGGTGACAGCTGCCCACAGTCGTACCGGTAACCAAATGGAGAGGATAAACACGGCTATCGGTTTGCCGCACGTATACGCATATGTACAACGCGTCGTATGAACAACCATCAACGAAACATCCTCGCACATAAAAAAATTGGAAGTGGTGTACAAACATAAATGCAAGGTATCGAAAGAGTTGTTTTGTGTTTTTGAGTGGCAACGATTCTGGAAACTGATGCGTAGCAATTTCGCGGGGAAGTTGTTACTTTCGAAGTCACAAACGATGTAACAACAATCGGTGGAAAGTGTGCTTCAGATTTTACCGGCAGCAGGCCATTTAATGAGTCGTACATGTGGGTGAGTGACTCATTTTCCACTGTTGAATGGTACTGAAACTGTCGTAATATTCTAACAGTGTCACGTCGTACCCGACTTAATATAGTACTGCACATGCATTTGTTTTTTTTTCTGTTAGAAAAAGTAAACACGGCATAGTTACTGTGTAATCTATATCATCACCAGCCTTGATCCGTCTGCTGGATGAAGGCCTCCCCAACCTGTTGCTGCCGTTCCTCGTGCTCTCGCGATGTAACAATCCATTAGCTCTGGCACGTGTGCAGATCTCATTCCTCCATCCCCTATGGGGGATGCCCTCTTGGGCATGTTTCCTCCTTCGGCTTTGATTCCAATGTCAGTCGTCATCCCATCTAGCGATGTAACAGTGGCAAAGTCACTTTTTTGTAACAGCCATTATAACAACCGATGGAAATGTGTTCCTACAGGAACTGATCAAACTTAATTTAAAAGGCTGCAAAGTTGGAATTTATATATTCACACGCTACTACATCTCACCATTAGATCATTTTAATGGTGTATTATATGGCTGCTTTGTTTTTTTATTCTGTCTTGCCTGGCAGGCTGGCTGTGTGAGGATGAGTGCAGATACACGTGCATGTGGGACACTGTTGCATTATTCCTCAAAGAAGGTCGCAGTGTCCCACAGTTCCACGGAAAGGCAAGTTGAAGCCACTGACATAACCCTGAATATGCGATTTGGTGGCAATTCTTGCATTTTTATGATAAAGTAATTGCAGCATCAGTTTCATGTCACTGTCTGTTTGATCACAACCCTTATTATTTTTCACTCGGAAATGTGATTCGGAAATTCTAAACACTTGGCTAATGAGTGTATAACAAGCAGTGCCAGTAGACGAATCATTATGGCAGTCAAGATGTGTTGTGTACGTGGCTCACAGGTCAGAGCTTCGTGACAGCTTGAGTTCACATTAACGACTGTGCCTGTGTCTTTGTCTATTCCCTTAGTGGCCATTTGTTCGGCTATTGTGCATTCAGGAGCCCCTGTCTGCATTGGCTTCACTGCTCAATGGGCTCTCGTATTACGCAGCAATGGTTATGTACCGCAAAAAAATACCGTCCACGGCACCCATCTACCAAACGGTCATCGCTTTTTCTCTGGTGAGCCCTTTGGTCTTGAAATGTGTATGAACGTGCAGATCTTCGTGTTGATGAAATTCGTGTTCATATTTGAAATCAATTATTGATTTCAAAATTAATGGAATCAATAATCGAATCCCGTAAAATGTTTAGTAACGATAGAAGTGAATAGGACCTGAGAATGTTCAAACTGAACGGCGAGTAATTGGTCAGTAGCAGCCTTCATTAGGCACCAGAGGCCAGGCTCATCAGTCATTGTGTGGTTCGTTTCAGCAGACGCAAAAACACATACACAGGGCTGGAATTAACCTTTTTTTTTTGGAAGACATTTTGAAATACGTGGCAAACCGTTAATTGTTTTTCATCGTTCTATTGCACGTAATTATTGATAATGCTAAAAAAGTGAAAGTAACAACCTGAGGTCAAATATACACATAAGACCCTGGGGTGGAAACATTTGTAGTAAATTTTGATTTAAAGCTTTCGTGACTGCAGTAATTCATATTCTTAGCTCTTTCGGTAAAGTCACGTGACTTTACCGAAAGAGCTAAGAATATTTGTAGTAAATGTCTGATATAAATTACATTTTCAGTAGCATAGTAAGTACCAGGTAATTATTTTTGCACTCTACCTGAGGTTGGTTAATCCTGAAAGGTCCTATAAGTGAATTGTGGCAGTCACTTTACTTGACTAGTTGTGCATAAAAACGTGATGAATAGAGGCACTTATTTCAGCGCATTGCATCTCGTAGGCTATACATCATTTGCAAATGCTCGGCCACCCGTGGAATTAATGTCATTGAATTTTGTGAAATGAATGTGATTTCAAAAATGATAACTACGATGTGTCTTGTCTCAGATTGGAATGAACACTTGGCTTTGGTCAACAGTGTTTCACTGCAAAGATACACCTTGGACCGAGGTCAGTCTCCCTCTTCCTTAGCAAGGAACTTGTGTTTTACACTTTTATATGGTGAGCAGTGCCACATACAGCTAAATCATTTGGAATGGACAAATAGTTTTCAAACCAAGGGTGCTCTGTCAGAGCTAAGTTCCCTTCAGATATTTTTTAATTTCAAATTAACCACCCATGACAGAGTTTGTATGCGTTGCATTTGATAGCATGTTCAAGTCATTCATTCTTACATTTGTGAAAATTATAACAAGAGTACCTTTGATGTACAACAGCTGACTAAAACAGCGGGAGGGGAAGGAAACTATCCCTTTGGCTCCTGCTTGGGTGCACCTTTGGAATTTGAGTGACCACATTGTGGAAATGTCTACAATTTACCAAAAAAAATTGCATTAACCTGAATGTATCAACTTCATTTCTAGAAAATGGATTACTTCTCTGCAACCTCACTCATCCTTTATTCCATCTACTTCTGCTGTATAAGGTCAGCTTGTCTTTTGCTCACCGAAATATGAATTATTAATCGGATCTCACTTTCCTGTATGGATTGCATGATTGACAATGAATGCCTTTACATTACAATTCATTTGCATTAAACCTCTAGCAATAAGATGTGCATGCTAAGTTGCTTGGTTGTCTTGGGCTTTTGCGATGAAATGAGGTCCCCTATGATCCGTTGCTATCTCCTCTCACCTCAACGTCTCTGCATGCCGCTGGCATGCATCGCACACCCGCGCATCTCCCAACGATAAAGGCCATGGCGTCTTGGTGTCATGTGATGAGTTCACGTGAATGCACCCACCAATTACAGCTCACCCAACTACACAACTTGAAATTGCCACTCCTCCCGAGTTCCAATAATCATCCGACCTGGGCAGAGGCTTACATTGCCTACGCCTAAAGCCGGCTATGCCAGAGTTCCCAACCAGCTACCAGCGCTCGTCCCGTGCTTTCCCGCCTCCTTGTAGCGCGGAAGCACGGGCCTCTCCAGCCCTTGGGCCCCCGAGCAATTGCGCCACCCTGCACGCTTGATTGCTCTGCCAGTGGGTTGCCGCCGACACTGTAGTTTGCTTTGCAGGACGGTGGGACAGCGGCATCCGGGTGCGGCGTCTGTCTTCGGAGCGGTCCTCGTGTCGTTCTTCGCCTACCACGTCTGGTACATGGGCTTCGTCCGCTTCGACTACGGCTACAACATCATCGCCAATGCTACCATAGGTGCCGTGGGTTTTCTTCACTGCCGCTAGCCAACGCCACTTGTGTTTCTGTAGTAGGAATAGCCATGCATTTATTTATTTATTAATAAACATGTACAACCCTTTTGTCGTTCCCCTGCTGGATGAGAAACTCTACTTGTCTGTCTGGCTCATATTTGACCATACTTCACCACGCATGTCAGTACTGGTTAGTGAAGGCGGGGATGTTGGAACAGAATACAACAATGGCTTTTGTCGCACTGCCCTCTGCTGACAATTTCACATCACAGCAGCCTCCAGCACCTGTAGTATATGCATGGTGATGGTTGCCCATTCAACCGCTATCTAGGCCTAACGCTGCTTAGCTTCCACGATGTGATGAGATCAGGCACATTCTGGAGGATTTGGTCATAGGTAATTCAATATTGATATTCAATGTCGGTTATTGATGCTTTTCTAAACTTCAGATTTGAGCTGTGTAGGAATAGAGGCAAGTGCTCGGGATCAATGACAACTTCAAGGTATTCCGAACACTCTTTGCCAGTATACTGTCAGAGTTTAGGGAGGGTACACTCAATCTGCTGTCTTGATTGAAAGCTGGACTTTTGTGCTCAATCTGAGTGCTTTAGTTTCGGCAACAGTTGGTTGGTGGAAGTTATAACAAATCCTACCAGCAAAACAAAACCAAACGAAAGCAGTTAACCGCTGCATGTATGCTTTGTTTACTGCACGTGCAGGTCTGGTGAACCTGATGTGGTGGTTTGATCTGCGTGCATGTTCATTGTGCGGTCGCATACATACAGGTCTCGTGAACCTTCTGTGGTGTTTGGGTTGATGCGTGTACACGAAGGTTTTAGTGACCTTGCTGTGATGGTTTGGTGTGCGTGCGTGTCCATTGTGCGGTCACATACACGCAGGTCTCATGAACCTACTCTTTTGCTTTGGTGTGCATGCGTTGTGCGGTCAAATAACACAGGTCTGGTGAACCTGCTGTGGTGGTTGGGCTGGTGCTTGCGAAGCCACCGTGAGCGACCATACGTGTGGCGCTGTGCCTTCGTTGTGCTCTGCCTGCACGGCCTGGCGCTGCTTGAGCTGCTCGACTTCCCACCGCTGCTCTGGACCTTGGACGCGCACGCGCTCTGGCACATCGGCACCATCCCCCTGCCCTTGGTCTTCTACAGGTCAGCTGGGCTTACCACCCCTCTCCACCCTGGAGCACTGCAGTGTGTGTCCTCAAAATGACGTGGAAGCACATCCCACATCCCGCATACAAACAGGGACTTTTGAGGGACCCCTGAAGATAGAATTACAAGCTGTAAATATAATAAATCAGACTTTCATGAAAATAATGGGGTTTTGTTAAGAAAGTGGATATACTGGACACCCATTGTCTGAAATGGTCTTGATATTTCGGATACACTGTATTTGCGTTGTGCAAGCTGAGAGCCCCAAGGTGTAAACAAATATCCTTAATATTTGCTCCTCTGGAACAAATGTTTGTAACCTCAGAGGAGAAAAAATGTGTTCCTCTCAGTGACCACTGGTTGAGATTTGAGTGTGCACAGTTCCACTCCACTGGGCCCCACCATCAAGTTACAGTCAACCGCACCATTGCAGCACCCTTAGTCACAACTATTTATTCAGATCATCAGCCATCCACTGCTGGATGATGGTCTTCCCATGCCAAATCGATATTGGGGGTCGTTTGACCAATACTTGACAAGAATGGTCAATATGGATTGGTGAAGAAGGCGGCGGTGCAGGATTGCTTCAGATGTGACTCGTCATTGACATTAGCCAACGTCGGGACTCTAACCAAGAGTTGTGAGGCGGCCCAGCCTGGATACAGCTGCAAGTCACCCCAGTTCTGACCCTTTTAAGCTATTTTGAAGATTAAGCCATACCTCCGATTAGCATGGTTGGCTACGTACAGTTCGAAAGAAGTTCTACATACATACATACAGAGCCAACCACTGTTCCATTTAAAGTATCTTCACACGCATTGTCGGGATTTTTCATTTATTTCACAAGGGGTTTGCAACTGGATCTTGTGACAACATTTAACAGTTATTTTAAGTTACATTGTCTGGGAAAAAAATGTGTCCAGTGTCTTTGAAGTGTGTTTGCGCTGCCCTTGTCTGCAATGCCTTGTCATGCCAAGTTATTCACGTGACTTTTTCATTTTTCAGGTTTCTTATCGAGGACAGTTTGTATCTTCTGAAGGAACAGGAGCTCAAGAAGATCTATTGATGGATGGAGAAAAGAGAATAGGCTGCTTTATCTACTCTTAGCCGTGCCAAATAGCACACACTAAGATTCATTTGTGTGTTTTTTTAAATTCTGAATTGCCACGCTATTGGGTAAGGAGCTGACGAGTGTCATGCTGGTGTTTACGATCAAACTATCCGGGGTAAATCGCAGAATGTTGTCTTAAACACTGTAGCCTTTAAGCCACTGTTTTCAAAGACAGTCGTTGTGCTCTTATGGATAGTTTCTCTAGCTTTGTGTTAAGGACAACACTTTTAATTTTATATATGCCAATGCAGCACTGATTAGGTCGGCTCTGTAAGTTTTTATAAATTCTTGATTCATGGGACATGTTAAGGAATCTCACAAAAATACAGATTCCTATCGATGAGGTGTATTTTGTAAGCTGTTTCAATGTGCCTCTATGATTCGGGGTGTCTTATGAGCAGTGTGATGTGTTTATAACTTTTATATTGACTTGTATTTTTTGAGGCCTTTACTGCTTTGAATTATAAGGTGACTGAGGTGTACACATTTGTGGAGTTGCAGTAAAAAAATGAGGATCTAATAAGGCACACACACACACTCTCGTCTGTCTAATTTGTTCCTTTAGTACGCATCAGCTATTATTTATCCTCTGCTGGATGAAGCCCCTCCCCCCATGTAACCATCAAGTTCCTTTGATACCACAAGCCATCTCCTGCACTTGAACCGATTTCAGTCACTGCTCCATAGTGGTCATCATCTCGGGTGTTTTCCGTCACCATTTTTGTCCATCGGCCATCATCCCCTCAAGTAACATATCTAGCCTAAGCCCACAATGGTCAACAAAATAATTAGTTTTTTGATCCATGCGTTCCACTTTCAGTACGATTCTCAACATGCATCGCTCCATACTTCTTTGCTTATTTTCAGCTTTTCCATGTTTTTGTTGTTGTCAGAGTCCATGTTTTCGATCCATATAACAATAATTTCCTTGGTTCACCAAGGGGCTTCCTCATGCAATGGCATCACAGAATATTTTATCATACTTCACGCTGACCGGTGCAGATTGGTTGATGGCGGGAAGCATCGGGCAAAGAAGCACAAGACAAGGTTCCGTCCTGCCTCTACTGGACATCTGTGTAAAAGATATTCATAGCTCATCGGATTCCTGCAGGATAAATACAGATTCTGAACATGGGGTTTTTCTGCGATGTCCTCTGCTGCCCACAAAGTAACCCGGTGGCCACCTATAAGCTGGCGTGCATGGAAGTAAACCCATTCAAGCACTATCCAGGCTCAACTTTGCTTAGCTTCCGAGATCTAATGAGGTTGGGTGCATTCTGGTTGATTTTGATCAGTGAAAATATGTCTAAATCTCTACTGGACTTTCTCGAGGTGGCATCGGCGGGGTACAGTAAAACAAATATCGCGAAAAAGACAATACTCTCGTCTGTGTAATTTGTTAATAGAGCCTATTATTTATCCACTGCTGGATGAAGGCCTGCCCATGTCACCATCAAGTTCCTTTCTCATCATAAAGTTCCTCAATGGTGCAATCCAAATAACGACAGTGGCAGCACGTATTTATGTCTGGTACTGTATACATACCTGCATATATTGGCACAAGTAACATGTAGCTTTAGCCCAATTCCATGGGAGGAAGATTGCTTAGTTAACTGATGGTAAACTACGAAACACTTTATTTTTAAAAGAGTTCAGGAGGAATATGCAAATCAAGCTGTGGGTGTAATTTGTTTGGGAGGGTGGTGGGCGCATAAGTTGTCGGGTCCTAATTAAAACCATTTATTATTTCTGTTTGGTGTAAGGGCCTGACTCATCTAAATTAGCGGCAACATATTGCTTTGTTTTATTCTGCCAGTATTTAGATGTCAAATTGCATCACATTTATGCAGATTTTAGAATTTCAAGTCATCTTTAATTCAACACCCATAAAACCCTACAGATACAAACTATCGTAGGCCTGAGTTCAAAGGGTGAACAAAACAATCTTTGCACACCTCATGTGGGGGGGGTCCAATTAAAACATTTTTTCCCTCCATCATAAACATCGGCTCACTTATATCTGAGCCGAATTTCAGATGGTTATCCCTTCTAGATTATCGTGAGAATTGTACACGTCATCCAAAATGTGCATATATGTTGTGCGCTCTAAAGGAACTAAAGGAGATGTGATGTGTTTTGTTGTTATTGTATACACGGGACGCGGGCGTGCGAGGGCACGAGCAGTACTGAATGTTGGATCAAATTTTGGGATCACGCAAGGGACAAGGGACCACGCCGAGACAAAGAAACGAAACAGGGGGAGGGCGATGGAGATTGGAGGGGGGGGGGGTCCTCCAAAGATATAGATTGGCAATAAAGAGGAGAGAGGTTATAGAAAGAGGTGTGGGACGATGGCCAGGAGCTCTCCGGGGAAGAAAAGGCTGACGTTAATAACAAGTGTTCGTGTTGACGTTGAACGGAATAATAATGAGGGTTCCGTTGCCAGGACGGCTCGTGTGGACTGGGCCGTTTTCTCAGCTTCATTCAGATTTGGGTCAATTTTGAATACCGTGCAATCGGGTACGTGAGCCTAATCGGTACGAGATCAGGGGAAGATTGCACGAACAATTGTAAGTGGAATGGTTTGCTGTTCATGTTAAGCGAGGGGTGGGGGTGCTGAACGGTACTTTATTATTGGGTGCTACACCCTTTTTCTGAGTTTCATTTGATTTGTGTTACTCTTTGGTTCTATTCGGTAAAGTCACGTAGGTAAAAATAAAATAACAAAAATCACGACGTTTCGGCCACAACACAAGTGGCCTTCATCAGGTGAAGGGGCCGGACTGTCCAGAGGACAGCGTTGGAGTGAAGACAGCCAAGCCCAGGTCGCGTCCTTTAAGCTGTGTGGGAGGAAACAAAAAACGCCTTGACAAAGGAATTAGCATAAAATGATGTACTGGACCGGCACGGTGGGGGGGGGGGGAAGTTTACATAATGTTGGTGTGAAGGGAAATCTAGAATTGATAACCCCTACGGGGAGGGCTTTCACCTATCTGTTAGAGCTTTCAACAGACAACGGGACAAGAAGTCAAAGCTCATCGAGACGCTGACCTTCCTCAAAAGATGCCGCGACAACAAGGTAATACCCATCGCTTTCACACTCACATCTGCTGCTGTATCCTCACCGAATTCTAAACAGATTCTGTTTAAGGCCAGCCTATCTTTAATCTCAGAGAGGATAAGACTACTCCGTTTTGAACTCGATACTTTAGACAGGACTCTCCTACAAGCTCATTTAACGCTAACAAAAAAATGTCACCTTCTGATTGGATCCACGTAGACAACATGACTGCTTCTGCCGATTCACTTTCAGTCAAATACAAAGCTAACCTGATTTCTAAATTCAACCACCTGTCGAAGAAGAACCCAGTCCCACATATAACAAAACTAGACGTTAACAAAATCGTTATTAATCAGAGTAGCACCCCGATTTCATACAATCTGAAAACAGTACTGGCTAGGGGGCTAAATTTTGCTGTCACCCCGAAACATTCCTGTAGATGATATCATCTCTCAGGTCGATGTGGCCCTTAAAGGCATAGGACACATCCAAGCAGACGTTGCGAGAGCTGAAATAGCCACTATTCTTAAGAATGCTAAGAAACCCATTAGCAACAGCAAAAATTAACGCTCTGAACTCGCGAATTAAAAAAACAGAAGTGATATAGTCATCCTCTCAGCCGACAAAGGCAACGCTACTGTAATTATGGATAAAGATTCGTACAACAACAAAATCCAGAACCTACTCAACGATGGAAGTTACTCAAAAATTAAAAATGACCCTACTAATAGCCTAACTATAAAAACCAACAAGATCATCACAAGTTCGACCTCCCTAATCGAACCAACTAAACGTCCCTCCTTAAAACCTTCTGCTGCAAGACCCCCTAGATTATATGGTCTCAAGATTAATAAAGAAGGCACTCCACTACGACCCATCGTATCCACAATCAACTCCCCTACCTATAAGCTAGCACGTTTTCTGTCAGATACCTTGCTACCTTTTATTGGCAAGACCTCAGCAGTACTTAACTCAGCTCATTTGGTCTCTATGGTCAAAGACGTTGTACTGTCCCCTGACGATATCCTTGTCAGCTTCGATGTGGTCTTCCTGTTCACCAAGGTCCCGGTACCTGATACCATTGAAATAATTGAAAATTTGGTACAACATGGACTAGACCCCGATACACCTGCGCTGATTAGACACTGCCTCACCAATACCTACTTTACTTGGAATGGCACCTTCTACAAACAAAATGAGGGTACCCCCATGGATTCTCCCTTATCACCAGTGATAGCCAATGTTTTCATGGAGAAATTTTAATCAGACGCCATCCAGACTTCCACCCTCAGACCTTCCCTGTGGAAGAGATATGTGGATGATACTTTCGTCATTTGGCCACATGGCCTCCCAGCTTTGAACCTTTTCCTACACCACATCAATTCTAGACATCCCGCCATCAAATTCACCATGGAAGTGGAGAAAGATGGCAAGCTACCATTCTTGGATGTTCTGTTTGAGAGGAGACCTGATGGCTCACTGGGGCATTCTGTCTACAGGAAACCCACCCACACAGATTCCTACTTGAAACCTGATTCCCACCACCACCCAGCTCAAAAGAATTCTCTCATCAAAACGTTATACCACAGGGCACATTGCATTTCGGACCAACACCACCTGACTAGTGAATTAAAACATGTACACCTGGCCCTCAAGAGAAACGGATACTCTGACCGTACCATCCGCCAAGCTGTTTCTCCCTCCATACAGAAGCAACCACTTGATACTCCGGTCAAAACCATCACACTACCATATATATATAGCAGGCGTTACTAAAAAGATCTCCAAAATTCTAAACAAACACAAGATCCTGGTCCGGTTCAATACAGTACACATCCGTGAAGGATGTCATTCCTGACTTACAGTACCCCGGGGTTTACAAATTGAGTTGTACCTGCGGTGATTGCTATATCGGAGAGACGAAGCGACATGTCTCTGACCGAATTCGCGAGCACAAATCAGATTTTAAACACGGCAGAACGAATTATTCTGCCATAGCTGATCACTGTTACAACGCTGTGGGTGATCACGATATAGTTTTCTCCGATACCAAGGTTCTCTGCAAACCCACGGGTTTTTATCAGAGATTTGTCCACGAGGCAATTCAGATTTACAAACAGATATAATTCAACCCGAGAGGATGGTTTCAAATTAAGCAATCATTGGAAAGATGTTCTAAATCAAACCAAACATTAAACTAATTTTCAATGGTACAGTATATTTTTTCCAGTAGTGGTATCCCAAACTTTCACAGCAGCTTATTTCCCTTCACACCAACATTATGTAAACTCCCCCCCCCCCCCCCCCCCCCCCACCGTGCCGGTCCAGTACATCATTTTATGCTAATTCCTTTGTCAAGGCGTTTTTTGTTTCCTCCCACACAGCTTAAGGGACGCGACCTGGGCTTGGCTGTCTTCACTCCAACGCTGTCCTCTGGACAGTCCGGTCCCTTCACCTGATGAAGGCCACTTGTATTGTGGCCGAAACGTCGTGATTTTTGTTATTTTATTTTTACCTACGTGACTTTACCGAATAGAACCAGTCATGAAAGCTTCAAATCCAGAATTGATTTGTGTTAGTTTCATATTTGTATCTCACATTGCATTTCTCAGACTTCTCTGTCTCAGGAATGTAGGGCAATAAATTAATGTTATGTAAATGGTAATTAGACCCAGGAACAAACATCCTCACAATGCAACACCATTTCCCGTCAATTATCAGTTTAGGGGCCATCCATTTAGTACTTACGCATGGAGGGGGGAGTTAACCCAAATGCGTACGCTTGCGTATGGAGGGTCTACTGACAATGTACGTACGCATAGGAAACGGGGGGGGGGGGGGGGGGGGTGAAGCCTCGATAATAATTTGTCTACATTGGCCTTCAAATGAGCCACAGTTTAGTTTCTTCAGCTGTCAGACAACAAGTACTATCGGGAGAAGTAGGACTGTGGGAGAGGTGTCACTAGTATGCCACCGTACTCCTGACTGCAGCTATCACGCAGCTCAGCAGTGAGTCTGACATAGTCTGGCGGCCTGCCCCATGGGTCACACATCCTGCAATCTGGCTTCACTGCAGACTGCCGCTGGCTCACGGTTTTAGCTGCCGCAGGCCAGTGTAAAACGACACCAGCGCATTCACACGACTGAGTCTTCTGACAGAGAGAACAATAAAAAGATGTACGATGATGATGATCACGTCAGCGATGCTGTGGATATTGAGACGGTGGCCCAGCAGACTGCAGCTATCACACTGCTGTGCTTCAGCCTGACACTGCGCGTATTGACGAAACCCCTATAATGCATCACCTGTTCGACTG